AAAAAAAAAAAAAAAAAAAAAAATAGTAGATATTTAAATTTTAAAATTTGTTAAAAGATTCATTTTCATTAATTCCCCTCAAAATATTTCCTGTTGCTTTGAACGCATCCCATTGTTCTTGTCACTGAAGTGAGTCTGGAAGTCCTCATTTGTAAATGTATTTATGAGGTGTGATGAAAAATACATGAATGCTTTTCTGAGTATCATCCAGTGGAAAGGCAGGGTTGTGAAAACATCTAGTATATTCTCATCCACACTGTTCATTGGATCAAGCGCCTTGCAACTTCTGGCTCTTCCTCAAAGTTAAAATGACACTGAATGGTAGATGTTTTAAACTTTCAGGACATCAAGGTAGGCGCAACAGCCCCGCTAAAGAAACTCATGAAAGAGGACTTTCAGAACTGCTTCAGAAAATGGGAAGAATGATGGGATAAGTGTATTCAAAGAGTGTGTGTGTGTGTGTGTGTATGTGTGTGTGTGTGTGTGTGATTTGGAGGAGGATTAATGGCAATGTGTCTTTTTATTTAACACACATCATATTTTTTGGTTATACTTTGTGTATTTATTGCATACTGGCTGAACTAGGTTTTAGGGGAGAAAGAAAGGAATGAAAGGGGAGTGCTGTCTTCCAGAAGATTATATTTTAATTAGAAAAAAGACTCATAAATAACTGAAAGTTACATTTAATTGGTTTAGGTTGTTATAGTAGCTATTATTTACTTGGAATTAATTTGGATAGAATTATTAAATTTTTATATAGGAAAATTGTTAAGGATTTTTCAAAATTCTAGCTTTTAAAAACCTTAGTTACCAAATTGAAATGGTAAGCCTGTTGTAAAGGGTTATGTTGTTTTACTCATATATGCCATTTAATCCCCTCAACCTAGTAAAATCGACATCATTGTTATTCTGTAATAAGAGTTCTAACCCTTAGTCTGATAGCTATTGAGTGGCCTGTCTGGCTGGAACTTTGCTTATCTCCTTACATAGTTTGTTTCACTGTTTCCCTACATTGCTGTGTCCTTTAGTGTGCCATGTAGTCAGTGTTTACTAGTTTACTCTGGAAGAATCATCATACAGAGGGAGCTTACTCTTTCATTTTAACCGGGTTAGAAATTCTTTTGAGTATAGGATTTCTCTTGGAGACTTAATGATTAAAGGTTACTTTTTTTAGAAAAAAGTTTTTTTTGTTAGCTTTTTAAAAGCCATATAATTTTGACCTGTTTTATTAAAATGAAGCTGCAAAAAACACTTGAACAGTACAGACTAGCAAAATGACTGCTTGGTTAGTTGCAAGGCAATTTTTTCATCCCAGTGGTTAGTATTAGCTTTCAACAGTCCTTTTCTTTATTTTTTAAGGTATATTCGTGATAAAATATACCCTTTTCCTTTTTTAAAAAAAGGGCTACATGTAGTACTTAAATGATCACTATATGTATATGCTGAATTGTAATTATTTTTTTTAAATTAAGGGCATAAAAAAGGCAAAGTGGAATATATATATTATAATGGTTATATTTTTTAAGTGTCCATTGCCATGTCAGAGGATTTAAGTTGACTAAGGAATGATGTCCTTCCTATTTTCTGAGCTCTTGAGATACTTTCGGCTGGAAAGTCAGGTGTGGTGTTACTTGATCAGAAGTATAAAGTTTTACAAGAATAGTAGTAGTTGCTCTTGGTTCTTTCAGAAAATTGGTTCTTTCAAAATTAGGGATCCTTTATCAGTTTTTTTCATCAGTTCTTTCAAAATAAGATATAGCAGTTTTTTTAAAATCAGTAATTGTGTATTACCTTCATACAAACCTCCAAACTGACTTGTCATTACTTTTCCTTTGCAGGAACCATCTAGAACAGTTTCAGGCAGATATAAAAGGTAAGAATGCTTACATTGTGCCCTCACCTCCCCCCACCCCCATCCTGGGATTGAATCCAGGGCCTCAGGACTCTTTTCCCGGCTTAAAGGTGGCCATTGATTGCAATGTCCTCATGTATCAGGGTTGGCAGCAAACACTCTGATGTTGCTTTTTAGGGGCTGCTCATCCCATCGTGAGGACCTCTACCTTCATGACCTCATCTAAACCTATTTCCCAAATAATCCATCTCCAAATATAGTACTGTCACATTGGAGATTAGGGCTTTAGTATAACCTGCACAATGAATAACCATTCTCTAAGAGTATGTTTATATACATGTATGAGAACATTAGTGAAATTAAGTAGGAGAAATTGTTCAGTGGAATTACCAGAAAGATTAACTTTCTTTTTCCCTTTGAGACCATAGAGGTTGCAGAAGCATAAGCTAGTATTTGTGCTAACAGTCATAGATCAGTGAGTTCTTCTACTGTTCAAAATGCTTTACGTGGGAATCTTATTTCACACTTATTTTATTGAGTATCTTTGCATTTGTATTCATTAGGGAGATTGGCACACTTATTTTATAAAATGGGTACAATTTTACTCGGAGAATTATTTTCCTGGAGTTACAAGTATAGTCAATAGCAGAACCTAGATTTTAACTTAGGCAGTCTGACTTCAGAACCTACATGTTAATAAGTAAATACACCAGACCATCTGTGTAGATTTATACATATAAAACCTTGTTTTTACCTATTCATAGCTTAAAGTTTAAAATATCTTTGTTATTATATTCCATCTAAAACATTTAGCAGTTAAGTATGAGTAAAATTCAATTTTTTTTTTTTAATGGTTATCGTTTTACATATTATTATCTACAAAATAGTTTCTCAGGAAAACAAATAGACAAATAATAGTGAGTTACAGACAAAAGAGGTAGGAGATTATAAAATTCAATTTTTATTTTTACTATGGGCCAAAGTATCTTTTAGCAGTAGAAAGAGATAAGAAAGTCAAGATAATCAGCGGTAGAGTGAGTAGGTCTGAAACTATTTCTGGCACACAGTGGTTGTGCTGCTAATTTTATTTTTACTTCTGAGTAATTTTGATAAAGATACAGATACAGGTTTAATATAGATATAATGAAACTTCTTTTAATCTTCTAATATTTTTACTAACTGTGAGCAGTTGAAAGTGAAAAGAACATTTTTGCCAGAAATCACTTTGAAAAAGCTTTGATTTATCATGTTTGCAGGCCATATTCTCAAATCAAAAAATTTTTTATCAATTTTTGGTTTGGGAATAATGATAAATTTTAGTGACTTCAAAAGTATTTTGTACCACTTACATGTTTAGTATGAATAGATTTTCACAGAGTGAATGACGAACAGGTGTTCTTTTACTAAAACCAGTAGGGGAATACTTTTTAAAAATAAATTTTCATTAGCAGTTTTACTGACATGTCATTGTGTTAAATCAGAAAGAAAATTGTTTTCTATATTATACATTTTTAGGCTTTTGAAATTGTTATTTTATTTATCATATGTTTGTGTACTTTCATTTTTATAGACTAGAATAAATGGTTTGTTAATTTTTAGCTTTTAAGGTTTAGCCTTATTCATTACTGTTAAAAATATTTGTAAGTTCCTAGTAATTTTTCAGAATTGCAACAATTCCATTTTGATATAGCCTAACAAGCATAAATAAGTAACCAAATATCCAAAACCTAGAATCTATGCCTGAACTTACCTGTTCTTTATCTTTAAGAATATATTATGTCAACAATTCGTTACTATCGTTAATCCATCTGCAAGTTGTTGCAGTGACTAGAGAATGGGTGTTCTTCATGAGGGTTTCTGCTGACAAATGAAGGTGACGGAAGTTAGGTATGGGCTAAAGAAGAAAAGTTACTATTATATGTTAGAAAATGTTTTCAGTAACCCTTAAAATAACTTAGGTGGTGCATGCACAGAGCTAGAAACAACTTGTAAATAGCTATTAAAAAGTTTTAAGTACCTAGAAAGCTTACTTTATGTATGATCTTAAAAATTGCTAAATACTTAATTTTGTCTCGCAAATGTCAAGAGTGTACTTTTTCAGCACTGAGTTTGTTAAACACTCATACTAGTTGCACTATATTTTAAGGCAGAATGGACTGTCGTTTGTATAGCAATCTACATTCACTGTTTTTCATTTAAAATAACTTTAGGGGACTATTTGGAGGTAGGGACATGAGAGTTCTTATAGTCAAGATTTAAGAAAGACGAATCAGTGTCATGTGTTTGTGGAGTTTTTCTTTTTTCAGTGTGTAAGGTTATAGTATATTGTTTAAACTTTAAAAAAGGTAAAACAATTCTGAAGTGCTTGGAAAAGGCAGGATTGGCCAAGGTATGTCATTTACTATTTGGATTTAAGAATGTGTTACACACATCAGGAATGATACTGATTGAAAACTTGGGAAGTTTCTGACAAATATTGTTTTGTTTTTACATAATTAACCAGTTCTTTTGTTTTCACAATTGTGTGTAATTTAGTATTATTTTATTAAGTAACATTATACAAAGTAATAAGTGCTTCTCAGCCTCCACCCTCCCCTTATACTCAGTAGCTTTATTAGATTTAATAGTTTGTAATGCTCCTATACATACTTTCCTTATGTAGCCTATCAGACAGCACTCAGGTTGGCATCTTCTTTCCCAGATAAGAAGGTCTGTGAGCTTTTTTTAAAACTATATTCTTTTTGAGCAAAAATTGAATTATAATAGCTGCAAGTTTCATAATGTTTTTTTTTTTTTGTAATTCGTGTAACTTCATGAGGACTTTTCTTCATTTATATTTATATTTAGTTTTTTGAGACAAGGTCTCCTGTGTAGTTAAGACTGGCCTTGAACTTTCTCTTCCTCTTCCCCTTCCCTTCCCTCCTCTCTCTCCCAGTTTCCCCTCCTCTTCCTCCTTCCTCCTAATTTTGAGATAGTATCTCACTAAATTACTTAGGCTGATCTAGGAACTTTTGGATGCATTTGATATATGAGTGAACAATTTGACCCTAACTCAGACTTCACATTTATTTGTCTATAGTTTTACTCACAAGGAACACAAAGTAAATGTAGAAAAATGTACCCCGCTCAACGAAGCCATGTAAGTGCACTCAGGCATAACTACAAACAGTACAGACATACACCAGCTAGCTCTGTATGAGTTGCAATGTGCCTTCCATGTGTAGTTTCAGTCTAATTTTAGATAATCTTTCTCAAGCTTTACAGTAACTCATAAGCTATAACCATTTTGATGTAAGTTTCCATGCGGAAGCTTCACTTACTTTTCTAAATGTCATGTCTTTGAAAAGTCATATTTATGTATTTCATAGCCATTTGCCATGTATAACACTGCTAACCGTGTTATGGTTATCACTATATCACTATATCACTTTCACTATATCACTGATGATGTTTGCGAGCATCGTGTCTATATTAGTCACTTTGCTCTGTGAAACGAAATACAGACACCTGCAACTTGAAGAGAGGTTGTTTGGCTCACAGTTTGAGAGGGTCTAGTTGGTTTCGAGGCAGAAATGCCAAGATGAGAAGGGCATGGCAGAGGGTAACATACCAACCCATGATAGCAAGGAGGCAGAGAGAAAAGAAGGAGCCGGGGATAAGAACACGCCTTCCCAGGTTATTCCCCAGCGAACCCCTAACCCCTCATCTGACTGGGCCCCAGTTCCTAACAACATGTTCATGATAACTCATCAGTGGATTACTCAGGCAGAGCTCAGACTTGCAGTCTTCCTGTTTTAGCTTCTCAGAGTGTGAGGATTATAGGTGTGTGCATCCATGCCTGGCAGCTCTGTTAAATTTGAACTAATGGAGAAGTATAGAACTTACTCTTGCTTGAGTTTCATGTTATTTCATAGGGAATTGAATAGAGCCTATTTAAGTTTGATAAGTGAATTATTTATTTGGAAATACAGTTTTTATGCAGGGTTTAAGATGCTACAACACAGCCAAGTTAACTTTTTCTTAAATGGGACTTCATAACATTGTTTAAAAACTCTTAGTGATAGCTTGTCTGCACGTCTGTACTGAGAACCATGGAGTAGCAAGAAAATTCCTTGGCTGTCATTCAAGGGTCAAATCAGAAAAATCAGCTAGATCTTGTATAAAATGAAAAAAAATTATACCAAGGAAGACCAGATGTATATCCCAGTAGTTGAAGAGAGACAGTTTTTTGGGGGGCTATGTAACCCTTTTTAAAGAAATTATTCATATTCAAGATCTCTTACTTATTTCTGTGTTAGCATATAGTAGCAGATTCTGTAGGGCGTACAGTAACATAGTTCTTCTGGTTAGTGAATTTGGCAAAAGGATGTGAAAGGAACGAAGTGGTAATTTACAGTTCATTGGTATGGTAGCACATTTTGTGACTGAATTCTTCCCTGTTAAATTTATGGTCTTTTCTGTGTTGCAAATAAAATTTATGTAATCTTTGTTATGTATCAGGTATTTTTATCATTGCTTTTTATATACATTAATTCGGCTGATTCCTCAATAGCCCTATGAGGGAAATGTTTTTATTATTCCTATTTTACAAATGAGTAAACTGAGATTAAGCAGATATTAACTGCCAGATTTTGCTGGCTCCTCCTCATAATACTAATCTGCCTAGTATAGATAAGAGTGGAGGCAGTGTGGAAGTTTAATTTATTTTATTTAGATGCCAAATAACTGGAATGTACCAACAGCTAGATTTTTTTCTATTTAACACAGGTTCTGAAAAATTTGTGTGGCAGAGGGGAGTAACTTCTGCATATCTGGTCCTGGGTTTCCTATTCTACCATACTCTCTTTACTTTGTTCCAGCTATGGTGTAATGTTGGAATATAACTTTTGTTCTTAATTATGATTTTGAAATTTGAGCTAAAACACCTGCATAATTATGAAAGAGAAATTATGCAATAATATTAGGCTTTCTGCTATGCTTGTGGATTAAACCTAGGCCCTTCCACATGTTAATGAAGTTCC